CCCCCCCCCCCGTCAAAGCAAGTGCATTTCACTCTGAGTTCGTGTGTTCGATTCTCGCTACGGACTCATGTGAAAGAGTGAGTCAACGCTCTGTCGAAAGTTGTGGGTTTTCTCCGGGTGCTCAGGTGTCCTCTCACAGGGAAAGTTGACAGGGTGGGTTAGGATAAACACAGTTAAGAAAGTAATATCACAATTGTTGTAAAGTTAAAATAATCTTGGCTATAAGTATGTAATTAGGTAAGCGTATAAGAGTTGATGTAAATTTGCGCTATTCAAATGCTAGTCGTAAAGGCTCATCAACTCCCATCCTTGTTTGGACGGGTTTAATAAAAAAAAAACTTACCTTGCTGTTCACTTTCGCCAGGTTCCCGAAGTACCTAAAATGAGAAAGGTATCATGCTGTGAACAAAGGATCGATTGAAACAAACTCGATTGCCAGTACATGATCATATAAACGAACAGGGCGGGAAGAAAGAATTTTCTTCCTGGGAGCAGAACCTGGAGACAAAATTTTCCTGCAGACCAACAGAGTATTTTTGTGCTAAATCTGCATGTGTATAAACATATAGTGTTCTAGCTGACCATGGTTTTAAATTCAAGGAATAATGTCTGTCAACCATATGTTGTTGCGCCCATAGTGGGACATGGGTGTTAACGTTTCCTTCAAATTTTCAATAGCAAATCTTCATTTAAACGAATTTCCTGTAGCTGTTTAAAATTTCCTGCGAGCAGTGCTTGTCTATTTTTTCCACCCCTGTGAACGAACATACACCATTTCAAAACAGTACCTCAATATATGAGACAGGAAAAATTCCAATCTGCTCATCCTTCACACCTTCATACCAATTTTTGTCAATCTGTCGTATAATCACTACAATATCACCCTAAATTGAAACAAGAACATCATCCTATAAGCGCTGTTCTACAATCTTGCCATGGCAAACGTTATATCAAAAGGGTAATTTAAAAACCTTTTGTAAATTTAACTCCCTCGGTGATTCTGCTTTGAAATTATATTTAACTTTTCCCTCGCCTTCCATATTTGGGACACTTTCTTCAATTATCTAAAATGGAAAGATGTTTACGTTACTCTTCGTCCACAGGTGGATGTACCACACATCTCTGTGACAGAATTCGATTCTTGCAATATGCAGAGTGCTTCTAGTTTTATTTTACCAACACTGGACTAATAACAGATAATCCTTATAATGGACCTCTAGGAAGAACAGATTAGAACTGATAGAGCTATCCAGTATAAATAAAGTCAGTTTAGTTTACGTTTCCTCCTGTAGTAACACTGGATCAATAAGAGATGATTCTTACTGGACCTCTAGGAAGAACAGTTTAGAACTGATAGAGCTATCCAGTATAAATAAAGTTAGTTTAGTTTAGGTTTCCTCCTGTACTAACACTGGATCAATAAGAGATGATTCTTACTGGACCTCTAGGAAGAACAGTTTAGAACTGATAGAGCTATCCAGTATAAATAAAGTTAGTTTAGTTTAGGTTTCCTCCTGTACTAACACTGGATCAATAAGAGATGATTCTTACTGGACCTCCAGGAAGAACAGTTTAGAACTGACAGAACTATCCAGTATAAATAAAGTTAGTTTAGTTTAGGTTTCCTCCTGTAGTAACACTGGATCAATAAAAGATGATCCTTACTGGACCTCTAGGAAGAACAGTTTAGAACTGACAGAACTATCCAGTATAAATAAAGTTAGTTTAGTTTAGGTTTCCTCCTGTAGTAACCCTGAATCAATAAGAGATGATCCTTACTGGACCTCTAAGGAGAACAGTTTAGGTCTGATAGAGCTATCCAGTATAAATAAAGTTAGTTTAGTTTAGATTTCCTCCTGTAGTAACACTGGATCAATAAGAGATGATCCTTACTGGACCTCAAGGAAGAACAGTTTAGAACTGATAGAGCTATCCGGTATAAATAGCTAAATTAGTGTCACATACTTCTACATAAGATATCGGGTACAGTCCAATCTGCCCCTGTGCCTCTCCTTCGCACCAGTTGGCGTCAATTGGTCTGTAGAATAAGACGATATCTCCTTTCCTGAAACCAATTTCCCTGCAAAAATTATGAAAGACGATTAATAAGTCTTGACTTTGTTGAGGTGCAAATTATTATTAAAACTTTATTTAAAGAACGTTAATTTACAAGGAAATATGCCAGTTTAGCTTACGCTAATCTTCCACTGGACCTTCTAAAGTTAACTAATAAAGTTAACTGATGCAACGTAATGTACTTTGACGTATTCTTTGTCGTTGTTATATTGAGAAAGTTAAAAAGATCTATGGTGAAGGAAAGATGACGTACTTGGGTGACTGTGGAGAAAATGTGTACAACGCTCTCGCGTGTTTTGGATTTTTTCTTGCATCCATTTCTTGCTTCTTCTTAAGTGATTCAGCTTCACGTCTTCGTTGTTCCGCCTCCTGGGAAGAACAGAATTATTTAAATGGAAAATGCTTGAAAAAAAAAACAACCTGCCTTTGGCAAAGTAATATAACAATTGTTGTAAAGATAGAATAGTCTAGGCTCAGTAAGTACTGTAATTAAGTGAGCATTAAGACCACTCAGGAAAATTTTCAGCAGAAAAGAAAATTTAATTTTGTAAAATGTGATTGGCGGACACAAATTTTCCGTCGGAAAAAATTTTGAAGTTGAAAATTTTCAACTTTTAACAATGATATTTTTGGAAAATTTTCTGTCCGTGGAAATTTTTCTTGAGCGAAAATGAGCCTTAAAGATTTGATGTAAAACGCATTTGATCAAATCCACATGTAGACTTGCACAAGTCGACTATGGGGGAGGGAGGTAGCTGAAGCGCCCCATAGAAGGGTCTGGAAAGGATTTTGGAAACCAGCCTAATCTACATGCAAATATGAGCTATTCAGTTCATGAGCTGTCATATTTTGAGGACAAAGATAGTACCTCCTTGGCTTTCTGTTCCTCGCGTAATTTTCTCTCTAATTCTTCTTTTGCTCTTCGTTCATCTTCTCGTAATTTTTCTTCCTCTTCTTCGAACTGTTTGATATAGTCTACGGGTTCGTAGCTCTCTTTTCTCTCTGGACGAGGACTCTGAAATAGAGGAACGACCTTTACATTTCAAAACAAGACGTTCTACGTAAGATCGCTGGAGCAAGGGCACTTGCTATGGAAAGAGGCAACTTTCACATTTATACCGGGTGGCGCAAAAAAAAGTATAACTGTTTGATTACATATAGCTCAAAGACCATAAGCAGTAGAACCCAAAATCGAGTTTCATTGCATCCAGCGATGTCTAACTTAAATTTTGGTATATTTGACAGGCATTTTCGTCCAAGATTGACTGAGATATGAGTGTTTAAACTTTTGTTAGCAAATTTGAAACGGTCACAAATTAGCTAAAAACGGCCTATTAAACTGATTTTTAGCTAATTTGTGACTGTTTCAAAATTGTTAACAAAAGTTTAAACTCTTATATCTCAGTTAATCTTGGACGAATATGCCTGTCAAATATACCAAAATTTAAGTTAGATATCGCTGGATGCAATTAAACTCGATTTATGGTTCTACTGCTTATTGTTTCTGAGTTACAAGTAATCAAACAGTTGTACTTTTTTTTGCGCCACCCGGTATCGCTCAGTAATTATTCTTTACGAATAACCTAGTCAGTTACTTACAAATTTTTTTCTGTGTTGGTGCAATGTACTCAGGTGAATATGATATGTTTGTGATGTTACTCTGAGTGTATATCCACACCGGACAAGCTTGAAAAATATGCCTGGTTCGATTTCCACCGTGGCCAGGCATATTTTTCAAGCTTGTCCGATGTGGATATACACTCAGAGTAACATCACAAGCATCATAATCACCTGAGTACATTACACCAACACAGAAAAAATCATGATTATTAGCTTACATTGATATCGAAAGAACTAGATTCTGTTCCGAAATATCACATACTCGAACCGAGCAGACCGCGTAGCTCAGTTGGCAGAGCATTGGGCTAGTATTCCAAAGATCGTAGGTTCGAATCCCACCGTGGCCAGGCATATTTTTCAAGCTTGTCCGGTGGGGATATACACTCAGAGTAACATCACAAACATCATACTTACAAACTGTCGTTTTTTCATGTGATCTTCGTATAAGTTCGCTGCCGACGGCTTGTCTGCTTCTTTCTGTATCGGTTGACCGGCTTGACGTCTTGCCGCTGGATACCGGTTCGCGGGCTTCGTGACGTCATTTCTCTGTTGAAAGTTTTGTGTATGCATTTTCTTCGGCGGCTCGCGGTGCACGACGGGACCCGCGGCGGGTCTTGTACCCAAGGAGAAACTTCGTACAACAGGATATTCCGGTCCGATGTCACCCGGAGGCCGAGTAGCGCCAGGAGCTGGGGAGAGAAAACAAATAAATTAATTCATGAATCGATTAAGTAAGGGAGCTTTGGTGTGGCACGCCGTCGCGAGACACGCGCGTGGAAATTGCAACTATCCCGCGAATTGACTTCCAGCGCTATCTTCCAGCGACGGCGTAGCAATTCCCAAACGCCTGGATACTCAATCCAGTCGTCTCTGTTTTACTATAAATTGGTATTATAAGTTAAGAGATCAGTGCCCCGCGCGCGCTCCTTTCTTCCACGCGTGTTATTTTCTACCTAAAAGAATCACATTACAGTCTCACAGTGATTACTCCATCGGAAATTTGGCCCAAATTCCGATTAGAATCAATTGGAATTAAGTTTCTATTGGAAATTGGCCCAAACAATTGGAATTCCAATAGGAATTGAAATCTTCCAATTGGAATTATTTGAACCTCCGAAGGAAAAAATAATTCCAACGGAAAATATCGGCCCTAATTGCATTTGGAATTACGATTCTACGACCATCTGGTGCACGATAATGGAACAAATATGAGCTATAATTTACGATAGAAAAAAAAATCCGTTAAAAAATTATTTACACCAAATATATCCCTAAACTATTACGGTATTTTTATATAAATAGAAGTATCATATATACCACGTCAGCATGTATCACAAACACGAATAATCGCTAGACTATGAAACAATGCGGAGGATTTATGTTTGACAATCAAAAGTGTACAATTATATACGTTAAGCGCTTAATCACTTTGTGTTTTGAGTGCCGACACATAGGCTCGCAAAGCCGAAGTTCAAATGCTGTTAAACTGCTGCAGTTAAACTCGACTTTGAAACAGAATCGATGCTTCGATTCTGAACATATATTTACCAAAACAAAAAGCATAAAACTATATAGTATTTTAATCCTGAATTCAATACCATACTCTGGTTGGTTTGCAAGGCATATATATTGAATATCATTCCCTAAATATCTCAATCACAGTCAAACACCATAACAACCAATAATGTAATATTGATGATGGTTTTGACCTATACAACACCTTAAAGTCTAACCATTGATCAAATTTCTGAGCAAATTGTAAGCTACAATAACGTGAATTCGGCAACAGATTGGGCACATTAAGCAATACAATGCATTGTATACTCTTAAACAACGATACACAATCGCTACAATGCGACAGCAGTGAATTCAAAGCATATAACAAATCGATACATACCAACTTTAACATAGACGTTAAAATCCATTTTAAATACAATGTATGTTAGTACGAACTATCCAATATTCTGATATTAATAAAAGACTAACATAGTTTCTCTTACAGGCTAACGACAGCCAGCACAGTGGACAGAAAATATGCTAAACAGTCGCTTGAACTGGCAAGATACCGGATTATGACCCCTACCCCTCGCTGTTATTGATTAATTAAACTGAGGTTTTACAGTACGAAAGTATTTAAATCACGCAATTATCACGAACGGACAAATAGTTCTCATAAAATGCTGGTGGCTGTTTCAATAACTGTTTACAGGACAGATGGTGGTCAATTTCAGACATGTTTTACATGGGAACAAGAATTTTAAACTGCATTTCCGTCTGGTTCCATGTAAAATACACAAGACAGCACATATAATGTAAAGAATGAACATTATTTTCTCACTCTGATAACTAAAAGCTGGTTTACACACTATCAAAGTTTCTGTGATCACAGTAGGAATTTTGCATCGGTAAATTCTACGTTTTAAAGGATTTGTAAGAAATTTTCGAGAGAACTGACTCATGTATTAAACACTAAATCAGTTCCCCCAAACATTTCTTACAAATCCTGCAAAACTTAGAATCGATGCAAAATTCCTACTGTGATCACAGAAACTTTGATAGTGTAAACCAGTCTTTAATGTAGACTGGAATGTTACCAAGTCTCTGAAGCAATTTGGTTTCTATGGATACGAAAATATCGGCCCCTTACACTGTTCTGACCCCGCCTGTAATTTTGCCCTTCAACAGAAGAGTTCTCGGTCGGGAGATAGTCTCAGGGCACGCGGCGTTGGTGGCGGGTTTCATTTGAACATTTCTCCGCTGAATCACATAATTAAAACCAATGAAATTGTATAGAATGTGTGGCTTCCATGCGGAGAATAAACGAACCCCATAATCTTTTATATTGTTTCCCATTCATGCAGGGAAGTTAAATAAACACACTGTATTATTCACAATATCGTTTCACGTTGTGATTTCAATGTGCCCTATAATTAGAGGGTATATAGTTCGTATAGAGGGGGCGCTATCCGTAGGTATTTTACCGGGGGGGACAAATAACCTTGGAAAATTTTCTGTCCGTGGAAATTTTTCTTGAGCGAAAATGAGCCTTAAAGATTTGATGTAAAACGCATTTGATCAAATCCACATGTAGACTTGCACAAGTCGACTATGGGGGAGGGAGGTAGCTGAAGCGCCCCATAGAAGGGTCTGGAAAGGATTTTGGAAACCAGCCTAATCTACATGCAAATATGAGCTATTCAGTTCATGAGCTGTCATAGTACCTCCTTGGCTTTCTGTTCCTCGCGTAATTTTCTCTCTAATTCTTCTTTTGCTCTTCGTACCCCTACGGATAGCGCCCCCTCTATACGAACTATATACCCTCTAATTATAGGGCACATTGAAATCACAACGTGAAACGATACTGTGAATAATACAGTGTGTTTATTTAACTTCCCTGCATGAATGGGAAACAATATAAAAGATTATGGGGTTCGTTTATTCTCCGCATGGAAGCCACACATTCTATACAATTTCATTGGTTTTAATTATGTGATTCAGCGGAGAAATGTTCAAATGAAACCCGCCACCAACGCCGCGTGCCCTGAAACTAGTAAAAACATTTTAAAATAAAGTCACTGAGTCTATGTATACCAGTAATGGTTTAAACACGCTTGTAGCTTGCTTTTAAAATTAGATTATCTTAGGTCAGTACTGCCAATGCCAATCATATGACAGGCACTTTATTTAATGAATCGAAAACCTCGATACTTTTACTCGTTAATTGCTATATCATAAAATCATAATTTATAACAACATACCACAAAATACAAAACGCAACCAGCGGGTTATGTATAACGCTTCACAAAAGCAATTCTCAATGCACAAAACTATGGTCTAGCGAAACTGCCTCCTATATTATTCGGATGTTACGTAGCCAGCAAGCGTTAGTAAAATCTACGGATGTTACTATAAAAGTACAGTCAGATATGTTAATTTTCTACATTCAAAGAAAATTTTTGTTTGCGATGTGGGGCGGAGCCCCGAAAGTCGGAAATTAGCAATCGAAAATGGTTACGCTGTGCTTGGTGTTATGACAATATGTATAGGGAAGATCAAATGACGTCGCTTTTGCGTTGCTAAGAATTTTACGGACGGCAGAAGGCTGTTAACAGAATGCATTGGCGAAATATTTAGGTTAGAAGCATAGGCTTATGCCTGTGTTCTAAAAGCTCACTCACACTCAATGAGTGGAGGTTCAATTTGAGCTTCCCTTGAGTGTCAGTGCTGTTTTTGAATAGCTGGAGGGTGAGTAGTCACATAGTAAGGCACGACACTAACCCACCAGCTATTCAAAAACAGCATTGACACTCAAGGGAAAGCTCAGATTGAACCTCCACTCTTTGAGTGTGATGTGAGTGAGCTTTTAGAATACGGGCATAAGTTATCAGCAAGTCTTTAGGAGGCAACGTTGAGCTATTTTCACCCTGTATATTTCAAAATCCAATCTCCCCTTGAGCCTTGCGGGCATCTTTCTAACACTGACATATATTTCACATCTTACTAATACAGATATTGCAAACGTCCATTGGTTCACCGCAAAATCCTGATACTATTTTCAGTGATGATGGATAGCCCTCGCCTAACTTAACTACACTATGCAAGCGAGACAGAATTATTTAACTGTACACGATGCATGAACACTGTGCTCTGGAATAAACAATTGTAAAAAACGTCCACAATGTGGCAATAATGTACAAATGATAAACTCCACACCAGAAGCTATATTATTGTACATTTGAAAGCCCGCAAAAGTATCTTGTTTGAA